ATCAGGAGGTTTTCAGCTTGTACCCTCAAGGGGAAGCTAATTTTTTCACAGGGTGCTCCCTTCCACACAGCAGAAAGAATATAATCCCTCCCCCTTTAAGTGTGAGGCAGAGTGCAGAACAGAAGAATCTCAAAGAGAACTTATTTTGGTAATAACTGATTGGCAGCTGTGTTACACAGCACCGTGGGAGGGGAGGAGGGCTATGTTGGTGGCTTATTTCATGATGGCTCTCTAATGAACAAGTACAAAGGCACAGCCTACGAATAAAGACCCTAACGTGAACATGTTAGCACTTCAGTCCTCACCATTAGACACTGAGAAAAATAGGTGGTAATTGGGAGGATTTAGGGATATATGAAATATCACTTATCCACAATGGAGAAAGTTTATTCAAAACTATACTTGTTTAAAAAATTTCAGCAGTTCCTTCTAAAGGATCACCATCAATATCAGAACTGTTTTATTTTATTATTATTTTTTTTTTGTGTGTGTGTGTGTGGTATTAGGAATTGTACTCAGGGATGCTTTACCACTGAGCTACATCCCCAACCCTTTTTTAACTTTTAATTTTGAAAAGCGTCTCTTAGTTGCCCAGGCTGCTTCAAACTTGTATCCTTCTGCCTTAGCCTCCTTAGCCACTGGATTATAGGTGTGTGCTCCCATGCCTGGCATAGCAGAACTTCTTACATATAATTATGCTTAGTTTAACTTTATGATAAAATGTACACTGCTGATTCAATAGTGTGGATTCAGACATTTTCTTTTTATTCATTCAATAAATGAAGTTTGCACACCCTCTCTGTGTTAGGCCTGCTGTAGGTGCTGGTAATATACCAGTGAACATAACAGTCTTCTCCCTTTTGGATCCTACATTCTGGTAAAGGGATAAACGATATGTATGCTAGTGTCTGTCCTGAGAAAGATAAAGCCGGGTGAGAGCGGTAAGTAGTGTGGCTGAGACGGGGATGGGGGTGTGCAATTTTATGTTGGGAGATCAAAAGGCAATTAAGAGGACCAGAAGACAGTGAGGAAGTCAGCCCTGTGGACATGTGGGAATGGCTTTTGCAGGTGTGGGGATTTGCTGTTGCAAAGCCTGAAGGTGGAGGCAGGCTTGAGACAAGCAGCAAGGTGGAGAACAGCTGGGAGGAGGTTGGGGAGTGGACAGAACATCAGGGACTGGCTGGCCATGGTAAGGTCTTTGGACTTTCCTCTGAATGAGATGGGAGCCAATGGAAGATTCTGAACTCAGGAGTGATATAAACTGACTTGGGTTTTAGATTTTTAAAGGCTCGCTCTGACTGTTGCGTTGGAACTAGATATTAAGGGAGCAAGCACAGAAGAAGGGAGACCAGTGAAGAGGCTACTGCAATAGTCCAGGCAAGAGATAATGGTGGCTTAGAACAGGATTGTGGGAATTGGTTGGATTCCATATATACAGGGTAATCATTTTTAGAAACATGGATAATATTATTATTCATATATTGGAATGCAGTATCAATTAAATCGCTAATTATTCAGAGTAGGCAGCCACACTGTATTTTAAAGCTAATAGATATGATGTGAGATATGAGAGACAGAGAAGAGTAAAAACTGGCTCCAGATTTTGTGGCTTGAGAAACTAGAAGCAAGGATGTTTCATTTACCGAACCAGGAGAGACTGTTCAAGCTCAGGAGTTTGGTTTTTTGTGACACAGAACAATGGGAAAGTCAAGAAAGATACATGAGTTTGGAGGTCAAGAGAAATTAGGGCTAAGGATAAAACCTTGAGAATTGTTCGTATGGAAGAGTCTTGAAAGCTATGGGACTGGAAAACACCACTGGGGGAACGAGTGTAGATAGAGAAGACAAAAGAGTTTGGATAACAGATCCCTCCAAAGTTGAGAGGGCCCAGAATTGAGAAGAAATGAGCTCAGGAGATCAGAAGTGGTGTTCTGAAAATAAAGTGAAGCAAACTTTGTTCACTTTTTAAGTTCAGAAAATTAAAGGGGGAAAAACCCCAAACCAAGTTATTATCCTAGAACCATATTTGATTCTGGTGAATGCTACAGCAATGCAACTAAACTGTGCCCCCCAATGGAGGAAAGCAGATAAGAAGGACCCCCTTACCTACTGTCACTTTAACAGGGTTGATTCTATTAGGTTGGTAGCACCTCACGCTTCTGCTGAGCCTAACCAACTCCTTCACTATTCCTGCACTTCCACCCTTGCTGGGACTGCGGTCTCTGATTTGCTCTCTCTCTTATTTCCATCTGTCTCTTCATCACCTTCTATGTGTTGACCACTCTTTTAAGTCTGATTCCTAAGGCTGTGAACCTAGACCCAAACCCTCTCCTTTGTTCCAGTTTTCTCTACTCTCCTGTCTTCTGGGAATCTTTAAACTCCTCCTCCCCAAAGGCGCCTCATAGGCACATATACACCACAGAATTTGTCATCTTTCCTGCCAAACGTGCCCCTCAGACTCACTCCTAAAGCTGAAGAACAACCATTTGTTTCTAGTCACTCATGATGCAAGAGTCACTATGGACTTTTCCTTCTCTTCTCCCTTATTCTCATATATATTTTGAATCAAGTCCAGTAACTTCTACTTTTAACAAGATACAGAAAAGTATATGAGCCAGAGGAGAGTGAGAAAAACGGAATGTCAGGCTATACCCATTATAGTGGTCCCCTTTAAACGGTAGACATATTCCAAGATCCTCAGTGGATGTCTGAAGCTGTGGGTAGCACCAAACTCTATATATCCTATGTTTTTTCATATACATACATATCTATTATAAAATTATAAATTAGGCACACTAAGAGGTTTACAGCAATAACTATTAATATCAGATTAAAATAATATACTGTAATAAAAGTAATGTGAATATGGTCTCTCTCTAAAAATATTGTACTGTGCTCATCTTCTTTTTCTTGTGATGATGTGAGATGATACCATGCCTACATCATGAAATGAAGTGAATGACCCAGGCATTGTGACATAGCCTTAGATTACTATGAAGGGTTACTGGAACACAAGCACTGTAATAGCACAACAGTTCATCTGATAATCAACACAGCTACTAAGTGACTAATGGACGGGTAGCATATACAGCATGCATACGCTGGTAAAAGGATGTTTCATGTCCCAGGTGGGATGGAGTGGGATGGTGAGAGATTTCATCATGCTATTCAGAATGGCATGCAATTTTAAATTTGCATTGTTTATTTCTGGAATTTTCCATTTCATATTTTTGGACCACAGTTGACTGTGGGTGACTAAAACTACTGAATTTGAAACTGTGGATAACAGGGGACTTCTGTTCTGTTTTAGTTCAGCCTTCAACACTTATTGCCAGAACTCTTATAACATTCTGTTCTTCTTCCAATTCCTCTGTTCTGCTTCCAATCTATTTTTCAAACATGCAAAAATTCATTCTAAAAAGAGAAAATGGGTTTAAAAAGAAAAAAAATTGGAATCTCTGACCTCAAAATAAAACAGGTAGAATTGCGACTAAGAATGTCAACAGAATTCACAATCAAAGGACCAAAGATTGGTCTTTCAAGCAGGGGAAAGAGCACAGAATTGGACACAGGAGATTTGGGTTTCAGTTTCAAAGAAATCACTTGCTTGTTAAACATTCAGAAAAATTCTTACAACCTGTTTATTCCTACAATCGGTTTAATCTCATTTCCTCCAGGAAGCCTTTTCTGACTATGCCTGTCTTTTTCGTGAGAATTTATTTAAACTTGCTGATTTCTCCCTGTTTACACTATTAGATTGTTAGACTATAATAACTTCCTTATATCCTCATGGCTCACTATAGTGGCTAGCACATGCAGGTGCTCAGTAATGTAGAATGAATGCATATTCCCAAACTCAGCTTCCTATCTGTAGAATGGGATAAAAATGCCTACGTTTCAGGACTCCTTTAAAATTTAAATAAGATGTATGTAGGAAATCTTCATCAACTATAACTCAATGTATCACACACTTGCTGTTTGTCCCCCAGTACTTTATTGCATAAAATCCTAATACCTTAGTATGCCATTGAAAGCCCTGAACTATCTGTTTCTTAGGCCACCATTTCATTATGCCTCTGGCTCCTACCACCATTACTGTGTAGTATAGCCAGCTATATAGTATTTCAAACACACCGACTTCTTTCACACCTCCTTTCATTTTATACTGTAGTTACCTGCTTACATGTCAGTACCAACAATGTTGGCCATTACTATAATCACAACTGAAGTACTAGAAGCTGAACATGTAAATTTTAACTACTAAGCATTTTCCTATCCTCTAAGTCTTCTCCTCCCATCCTAATCAGTATTCCACTCAGTCACCAAGGTGTTTTTAAAACATGGGCTTGATTCTATTTTCAATGCCTGCTGGTTAAAATCACCTAGTAGTGTGGACAAGATTCTTCAGGATCTGACTTCTGCTACTTCATCTCCTTCCACTGTTCCACTACTAGCTTTGCAGCAGGCATGGTAACTACAGTACTTGGAGTTTTACCAATAGGTTCTCTCGGCTTTCAGGCCTTCACACATGATGCGTCCTTTGCCTCTACGTCCTCCTCTACTTTGTCTATCCAGTGAACTCCCTGGATAGGGAGTTCCTTGAAGATTCAATCCACGAAACCTGCCCTTAGATTCCTGGGCAGAATTAGATGCTCTTTCCTCTGTTATTATGCTATACATATCTTGACACATTCTTCGGTGAGGGTGCCTGTCACCTCCAGGGGCCTGTGAGCTTATCCGGCAGGGCTGTGTTTTATCTCGGGTTCCTGGCACTAAGCAGGTGCTCACTGCAGATCAGCTGAATGTACCAATGGCTGCTTCTCGGCGGGGCGCCAAGTCCTCAGCCACTGGAGGCTCCTCATGGAGGCTGTCCATGGCTGCCCATTGTATGCACTTTGCGCTTGTCTCTGTTCAAGTCTCTGTTGTGGGGGTGGCCATCAGCGCCAGTGGGTGACGTTTCTAGTCAGTTAGAATCTCACTAGTCATACAAATAGTAAGACTTTAGTCTTCGTAAGGAAAATAGGGCAGCGGCACAACCAGACAGACTGGGAAGACGTTTGCTTCACACCCTCCGGCTGGGCTCTTCGGCCTCCGCCATCTATCACCTCAAGGCCCGAATGGGGCGGTACCGGAAGTGAGGAAAACCGGAAGTGATGAGCCGGAAGTGAATGAGGGCTGGAAGCTTCGACTGGGTTGGAGCAGGTGCCCACGGGACCCGATGGTTTGAATTTGAGCGGGAAAGGGTCCCGGGGCCTCAGCTGGCACCTTACCTGAGGTAATGGGGTGCGGTGGGAGAGGGGCTGGAGGGTCCTGGCCGCCATCCCGTCCCCGGTTCCCTGCCAGCGGGCTGGGCACAGGAGGGCCCTGGGGCTCCCAGGCAGCCTTCGTGTGAAGGAAGGTCCCTACTGCAGGTCGCCATCATGGCCTGCCCTCCTTCTGGAAGGTTCCCCTGGCCCAGGTTCCCCTCTGCAGGAAACCGCGCCCCAGCATTTGGCGGTGGCTGGAATGGTGGCCCAGAGGCGGGCAGCGGGCCCACCATACACAGTGGTCACTCTGAAAGGATTGCCAAGAGAAGGCCGTGTCTGCAGGAAGTTGATTCTCTCTCGGCTTCTACCTTCTGTTGTTCAAAATTTCTTTCCAGACCTCTCCGTTCTTCCTGTCCACAGTCCTGTGGATTATTCCTGAAGCAGTAGATGAGGAAACAGGCTCAGAGTCATTAAGCCTTAACTTGCAAATGGCAGAGCAGGACCTCAAAACTGGGCATTTTGAATGCTAATTTTAATAGCATAAACTGGGCAATTTAATGCTTTAATTAGCATTAATAATTAATGCTAATTAAAGCAGGGAGATGAGGTCCTAGGTGTCGCTGTTGATTCCAGTGGGCAGGGACAGGTCTTCTGCACGGGTTTTCCTGTTAATCCTTCTCCTAGGATGGAGTCTGCCACAGGGCAAGCCCTGGGAATTTATTAATTGAATGGATTAATGAACACATATTTAGGTCTCAAAGAAGTTTCTCTTCCTATTGCATCGCTCCCCACCCCCATTGAAGTAGTAACACCTCCTAATGCAGTGATACTCTCTCTGATTATTCTCCTTTACTCTCGGCCAGAGCTTGTGTCTTCCTGAGTCAAACTCAAGTCGTAGGCAGAACCCGTGCAAAACAAGAGCTGCTCTCTCCTACACTACCCTAAATGCATCATTCTGGCAATGGCTCTGGGCACGCAGCCTCATAGCTGCTTTTGCCATTATTGTTCTAAGTCTTTGGATAGTCCATCCAGCTCCTCCATCCCTTATTCCCAATTCTTTTTTCTTTTCTTCCTACCTCCCTTCCTTCCTCCTCCCTTTCTTCCTTCCTCCTCCCTCCTCCCTCCCTTCCTTTCTTCCTGTCTTCCTTCCTCCCTCCCTTCCTTCCTTCCAACTGAGCTACATCCCCATTCTCCTTATTCCCAATTCTGAAATCCAAAAAATTTTGAAAACAGATTCCCCCTTCCGATTCACTTGAAGTAAAATCTGAACTGAAGTGAGACCATTTATAGTCCTTATTCCAAATATTTAGCATGTTTTGTTGCAGATATGTTGATTTATTTCACTCTTGAGACCAGCCCCACACCTTACTGTGGGTACCATGTAACATATGGTATAGGCACTGAACTCTACTGTTAAAAAGAAATTGAATTCCACTAATTTAATGTCACCTGTCAAATAATTTCCTGTTATGATTTAGGTAAAGTGGAGAAAAGGAAATAGCACTGTGTAAGTGGACAGATCTAAAAAGAAAACCAAGAGACCTTTTCTACCATATTATTTGTTTGCTTTAGAATTATTTAGGGGAGAAAACTCCTTAACCAAACAGTAAGACTTTTGAGCATAGGGATCATGTTTTATGTTATTCCACAAAGCTGGATAAATGATAGGTTCTCAAGAAATATTTATTGATTTGAAAATACTTGCCTCAAAGTTTAGAATTTGACTCGACAATTGCAAGAGATAGATTTTATTTTTAATATATCATGTTTAAAATTTAAAGCTATTGTATGTTTATCAAAGCAGAATCAGTCAGTCATTTGTTCAATCAGTCATCACACATTTCTTGAGTACCTTCTGTTGCTAGGTGTCTGGTAGATCTAGGATTAAAGGAGTAAATAAGTAGGTCAAGATCCCTGCTCTCAAGGAGCTTCTAGTCTGATAGTAAAGAAAGGCAACTAACAGCAATAACAAATAGGTTAGTACAAATCATTCTAACTGGTATGAAGGAAATTAACCTGCTGCTGTAGAGAATGTGATAGGGTGACCTAAGTTAGTGAGGTCAGTGAAGGCTTCTCAGAGAAGATGACACAAATTTGTGACATGAAATTCCTTCTTCCCACTATTTCTCAACATTATAATGGTGTGAATAGCCAGACAACTTGAGAATCAAATATGGAAATTTGCCTTCTTGCCACTAATTCTGATTCAGATGTCATAACTTTACCATCATGTGATGCTTAATGATCTGGATACTTTCTGGGAAATAACACCATTAAGTGATTTTTGTCATTGCATAGATATCATAGAATCTAAGTGGTTATAATGTCACTAGGCAAGTTAATCTTGTGGGACCATGGTTATATATGCAGTTCATCATTAACTGAAATATTATACAGCCTATGAGTAATTATAATCTCAAGGTTATTTGATGATGTAAATAGCATTTGTCTAGTCACATGTCTAAAACATAATAAACTGACATAATTTACAACTAATACCAATTGATTGAAATTCATATTAGTCTGAAAAAACACTAGTAGTTTGATGGTAACTTCCATATTTTATGTTAATGTCACTGCACATAAGTAAGTGATATTAATTAATTAATTATTTTTTGAGAGAGAATTTTTTAATATTTATTTTTTAGTTTTCGGTGGACACAACATCTTTGTTTGTATGTAGTGCTGAGGATCGAACCCGGGTCACACGCATGCTAGGCGAGCACGCTACTGCTTGAGCCACATCCCAGCCCCGATATTAATTTACCTATCCAGATTCTTTCTTTGTCGTTTTTCTAATAATTGGGAGAATATTTTATTATGGTATGTTGTCACATATGGCTGTTTTAAACTTCTATTTTGGATTCTGAGCCTATTATTTTGCTATTTTTCTGAGGCAGAAAATTTATTTAAAAAAGCACTTCAAAGAACTTAATACAGATTAGAGAATATAAGCAAACCTAAAAATTAAGATTGTTCCAAAATGAAGATAGGTAGCTCTAAAAAATATTTTACAGCTGTTGTTCAATTCCAGCATTCTAACAGTGTCTTTTTAATAGACTTGTAAAGAAACAGATCAATATTTGTTTCTCTAAGCCAATGTCATAGTGAATCTCTGCATTGAGTGAGTTTGGTAGAGGGTAAAAAGGAGCAGTAGAAATTGAAAATTTTAATAGCTTATTTTTATTTGTTTATTTTTGGTACTTGGGATTGAACCCAGGGGCACTTTATCATTGAGTTACATCCCCAGTCTTTTTTATTTTGGGACACGTTCTCAGTAAATTGCCAGTGCTGGCCTTGAACTTGTGATCCTCCTGCCTCAGCCTCCCATGTTGCTGATATTTTAGGTATATGCTACTGTGTCCTGCTTTAATAGCTTATTGAAGCATTATAAATCAGTTTTTACTGCATGTGGGAGTCTGATAAACAGGCCTATATTTGAAGCGCAAATGAGAAAATCATGAAGTTATAGAAATGCTTTTGTGTTTTTCTTCCTAGGGTTGATGGTAGTTTTTCTGAGAAGTCCTAAGTAAACCAATAACCTTTTCTATCTTGCTTACTTGAGGTTATGTTGCATTTTTACATCTTTATGTCTTTAAAAAAGAAATGATAGTTCATTTAGGATGCTTCTGAAACTTTATGCCTGCCTTCAATACACAGAAATTAATCAGGCCTCAGCTAGTAAGTGCAAAAGTAAAGGGAGGGAAATAAAACTAAAAATAACATTCGTTATGCATTTTAGCATTTTTTTTTCTTTTGTATGTTGGCAGTTTCTTGAATAAAATAGGATTATAGATTTGTCTAGACTGCCTTGGGTTTGTTCACTCATCAGGACTTGAAATCAGTTTGGCACACTATCTTGGAAGCCATAAGTGGTAAATCACTGGAGAAATTGCAAACTGACTGACTCACCTTAATGCAGAGTAATGGAAGAGGAAAGGGAATGATTTCATGTAAATTGTGAATTGATAATTCACGAGAATCATGTAAAGTTTTGGTGCTGCATACACCATTTTAAGTTTTTGTTTTGTTTTGAGTCAGGATCTTGCTATGTTGCCCAGGTTGGGCTCAAACTCATAATCCTCCTGCCCTGGCCTCCCAAGTAGCTGGGACCCTTTTAAGATTTAATGTGTTTTTTGCATCAACCTACATGAGTTTCTCTTTGTATGCATTTATTTGCGATCTGTAAGATACATGCTGATTACTCCAGGCTTTAAGAAAATCTTTACATTATTTTAATCTCACTGTTGACACTGTTTAATTCTAAACCCATACTTTTTTCTAAAGGTGAGTAAAGATCAACTTAACCTTTTACTCTAATTTACTAGCTTATCTGGACAAAAACATTGGTTTTAGGGTACTGTGAATTGGCTGTGTAGTCCACAGAGGTACAAGTATTTGTCTTAGTAGTTGATTCTCCTTTCTTTTAGATTAACAAGAAAATGGGCCATATTTAGATCAGATTGTGATGACTTATAGTTCTGAAAAGGACATAGTTATAGCACCACTAGGAGATTCTTAGTTTTCACCACCATTTTAATTGCTTTCAGGACATAATATTTTTATACATGGCAACATATGTTAAGCAAGAGATGTCAGAGAGCAAATTCCATTTCTTACACTAATTTGTCTACTACTCATGTAATGCTTTATAATAATTATATTTCTGGATAAAGAAGTTCAATGATATTTTCCACAAGAACTTTTAGGAGTAGAAAGACCACCTTTATTTCTTTAAATGATATAGGCCAATCTCTTATGAAGGATATTCCTGTACCTATCTTGGGAACATTAATGTGGTATACCCTCCATTGTGATTGATGTAAAGTGAGCAGACTGATTTAGAAACAACCTAGATTTTTCAGATTGGCCTGGTCTTCTGTAGAATATTTTAAAGAATATTTAACTTACTTATTTTTTGTGCTTTTCTTGTAGGAAATTGATACTTTATCAACATGGAGATTAATCATTTGTATTTGGGAGCAGCAGAACTACTTGTCAAGAGTTTTATAAACCAGTAACACAAATTCCTGTTCCATTGCTCTCACCCTCCCTTTTCACCTTCAAACTTGTCCTACCTATGGCATTCAGGAGGCAAATGAAAAACTTCATGAAAAATTACTCAGATGCTGAAATAAAAGTCAGGGAAGCAACTTCTAATGACCCTTGGGGTCCCTCTAGTTCTCTGATGTTGGATATCAGTGATTTGACTTTCAACACAATTTCTCTCTCGGAGATTATGAATATGCTATGGCAGAGACTCAGTGACCATGGGAAGAACTGGCGTCATGTGTATAAATCCCTTACCCTAATGGATTATCTCATCAAGAATGGATCAAAGAAAGTTATTCATCATTGCAGAGAGGGGTTCTGTAATCTTCATATGCTAAAAGACTTTCAACACATAGATGAAGCTGGAAAAGATCAAGGTAACAGTTAAAGAAGTTATATAGTGTTACAGTAAAGATAGGAGTTTGGGAGGGATCATTTTAAAACAGGAACTGGGAAAAAGTTCTTTTTTGTATTAATTAAAAAAAAAATTTTTTTTTTGTGGTACCGGGGATTGTACCCAGAGTTGCTTTACCATTGAACTCTATTCCCAGCCCTTTTTGAGACACGTTCTTGTTAAATTATTCAGGCTGGCTTTGAACTTGCAATCCTTTTGCCTTAGCCTCCTGAGAAGCTGGAATTGTAGGCATTTGCTATGTGCCTGGCATTCATTCATTCATTCATTCATTCATTCATTCATTTATTATTTGTTTGTTTGTTTCAATACTGTGGATTGACTGCAGGGGCACTCTACCACTGAGCTCCATCATCTCTATCCCTTTTTATTTTGAGAAAGGTCTCATTAAATTGCCCTGGCTGACCTTGAACTTGCATTCTTTCTGCCTCAGCCTCCCAAGTCTCTGGGGTTACAGGTGAGTGCCACTGCACCTTGCGGAAAAGTTGTTCTTAAATGTACCATCTACTTTTTCTCTAGTTAATGGTTCTAGTTTAACTCTTAAAGTGCCTTAGAGAATAATAAATTTTTTTCAAAAAAAAGTGTAAAATTGATACACTTAGGTTTCTGATAAAATGCTACCTCACAGAAAATGAATAAAACAGGAGGCATGGCAATTTGGTATTAATAATGTCACTGTAATTCATAATTATAATTAGATGGAATTTAGTCATAAATTAAAAATGTTTCCAAAGATGCTGGAATCTACAAAATCCATCTAGATGGAGGTATTTATAGGAATACAGAAATTTAGGTCATAAAATAATTCTTTTGGGGGTGGAAGAGGAGGTGAAATAGGGAAAGATGTACAGAATATTCAGATGATTCAGTAGTGTCTGATATTGTACTATGGCAGAAGAATCAGCATTTCCTCTCCATTTAATGTAAAATTATAATTTGTGTTTAAAATGAATAATCTTATGAATCATGAGAAGATAAAATGTAGTGCAGTCTGTGTTAAGTGTGCATTTAAAAATAGATCTTTTTTAAAGGGCAGTTTGAAAAATTATGTTCTGGAAAAATTATGCAGAAAGTACAGTTTCTACATACCCCTCCCCCCCACCTATGATTTCTCTTACTAGTAACATCTTGCAATAGTGTGTTACATTTGTTACAATTGATAAGCCAGTATTGATGTTATTAACTAAAGTTCATATTTAAAAATATTTTTAGTTGTAGATGGACACAATACCTTTATTTTATTTTTATATTTGTATATTGTGCTGAGGATCGAACCCAGTGGTTCACACATGCTAGGCAAGCCCTCTACAACTGAGGGAGCAACAACTCCAGCCCCTAAAGTTCATATTTTATGTGAGAGTTCACTCTCTTTATTATACAGTTCTACACGCTTTGAAAAATGCCTGATGTCCTGTGTCCCACCATTCAGTATCATACAGAATAGTTTTACTGACCTAAAAATGCCCTGTGATTCACTCATTTATGACCTCCTGAGCCCCAGGAAACCACTGGTCTTTATACTTTTGCCTTTTCCATAACCATAAAGTTGGAATCAAAGTGTGTAGCATTTTCAGACTTATTTCTTTCACTTAGCAATATGCACTTGATTTCTCTGTCTTTTCATAGCTGGAGATCTCATTTCTTTTTATTCTTCCTACTTTTTATAAGAACAGCTTTATTGAGACACAATTCATATAATATACAAATCACCCATTTAATGTGTACATTATATGGTTCTTGGTATATTACATTATTTTAAAATATCATGATAAAAGATACATAATGTAAAGTTTGCCTTTTTAAGTGTGCAGTTTGGTGGCATTAAGTATATTCACAGTGTTATGCAACCATCACACCTATTTCCAGAACTTCTTATAGCCTTAAACAGAAACTCTGTAACCTTTAAGCAATAACTCTCCAATCCCATTCTACCAAGCCCCTAATTTACTTTCTGTCCCTAAATTTGCCTCTAGGTACCTCATACAACTAGAATTATACAGTATTTGTTCGTTTTCATATGGTTTATTTCAGTTACCAAAATGTCCTCAAAGCTCATTGATGTTGAGGATGTAATGGAATTTTATTCCTTTTGTGGTTGGATAATATTCTATTGTATGTATGTGCCATATTTTAAAACCATGTTCATCTATCGACGAACTCTTGGGTTTTTTCTACTTTTTAGCTATTGTGAATAGTGCCTCAGTGAACACTGGAGTTCAGGTGTAAAAGTTCAAGTCCCTGCTTTCAGTTCTTTTGGGTATATAGTTTAGTAGTGAAATTGCTGGATCATGTGTAATTCAGTGTTTAGCTTTTTGAGGAACCGCTCTCTTTCTATAGTGGCTGCACTATTTAACATTCCTATTAATAACATAAGAGGGCTCCAATTTTTCTATATCCTTGTAAACACTTAACCATTTAAAAATTATCATTCTAGTTATTCTGTTGGGTGTGAAATATTTCACTGTGGTTTTGATTTAAATTTCCTTAAAGAATAATGATGTTGGGGATATTTTCATAGCCTTGCTGGCAGTTTGTATGTTGTCTTTGGAAATGTCTATTCAAATCTTTTGCTTATTTTAAACAGGTTGTTCTTTTATTAGAGTCTTGAAATTTCTTTATATATTCGATACAATATTGTTATTAGGTGATTCCCAAGTATCTTCTGCCATTCTGTAGGTTGTTTTTTTTTTTCACTTTCTTGATATGTCCTCTTGCACAAAAGTTTTAAATTTCAACGATGTCCAATTTTTCTTTGGTTGCTTCTACCTTAGGTATCATCAATAAGAAACCATTGTCAAGTCCAGGGTTATGGAGAGTTATACCTATATTTTCCTTAAGAGTTCTATAGTTTTAACTCTTTTATTTAGTTCTTGAATTCCTTTTCAATTAATTTTCTGGATGATATGAGGTAGAGAGCCAATTTTATTCTTTTGCATGTATTGGTATAACTATTTAGTTATATTGGCATCCTTGTGAAAATTAGCCAGTCATAGATGTTGGGGTTTTTTTCTATACTTTTAAATTGTTTCACTGATCTGTATGTCGGTTCTTATGCCAGTACTTCACTGTTGTAATTACTGTAGATTTTTTAAGTTTTGAATTCAAGCATAGGAATCCTTCAACTTTCTTCTTTTTCAATAATGTTTTGTTTATTCTGAGTCCTTTGCATTACCTTATGAAGTTTAGCATCAGCCCATTAGTTTCTCTTAAAAAAAATCAAAAGACAGCTGGAATTTTGATTGGGATTACATTGGATCTTCTTCTGTAGATCCAATTTGGGAAATGTAGCCATCTTAAAACAAATTTCTCCAATCCATGAACACAGTATGTCTTTCTTTTTATTTAGGTCTTCTTTTATTTCTTTAAATAGTGCTGTGTAGTTTTTAGTGAATGAATCTTATCCTTTCTTTTGTTATTTCTAAGTATTTGATTCTTTTTGATGCTATTATAAATGGAATTATTTTCCTAGTTTCAGTTTTAGATTGTTCATTGCTAGATTGCTAGTATATAGAAGTATGCTGATCTGCCAACCTTTTTTTTTTAAGCTGTAGATGGACACACAGTATCTTTATTTTTAAATTTTTTTTATTGTGGTGCTAGGGATCAAATCTAGTGCCTCATGTATGCTAGTCAAGTGTTTCTACTACTGAGTCACAATCCCAGCCTATGATCTATCAAAACTTTTGTAGGTTGATCTTGTATCCTGTTTGCTGAACTAGTTTGTTAGTTGTAAAAGGTGGTTTTTTTTTTTTTT